GTCTCCTTGCTACCGCGACCTCACTCACAGGAAGCTGCGACCGCGTGGCAGCAGGGAAAATGGCCACGGATCCGGTTCGTAAGTCGAGGCAAGTTCGTATCCCGAGGTACCACTGTACTGACATGAGCATAAATTCACAAGGTGCCAGGCTTGAGTCAAAGGATATCTTATTTTACTGTTTGTTTGTTTCCATTTTCCATTTCTTCTAGGGGCCAACCTAGAGATTATTGCATTTAATAAACAGAAGGGTTTGTTCGTTTGTTTTTTTAAAGTATAAGGTGGCCCGTGGAGGACAATGACAATTTACAGGACTATAGCAGGCAAGAGAATTTAATCCTGAAACCTAATGGAAAGTGAACCCCCCTTAGTATCATTCCAGCATCAATGGAAAGTTTTGCCACAATATCAAGAAGAAAGGATGAAATCCCTAAACTTGTTGTTGAACTCCTCCTTCCAGGTGATACTAGAATCCCATATCTATTTTCTTCCTTACGCATATACTGACTCACTCCTGATTTCTTATGGGGTACAACCCTAATTTGGCTTGTGTGTGTAACTGCCCTTGCTGAACTGCAGCAACTCCCACACAGCTGTCTAAAGTGACTAAAAACTGATGGCAGCCTTGTTGAAAACTGTGTTAGGACTGTTACCTTGGAACAAAGATTTGAAAGTGAGTACTTACAAACTCAAGGGTGATGGGGCTGCAGAGGCTTGGCACAGGGTAGAGATACAGTGCAGATAAGAACTCATCCAGCTCCGTGAACTGGCAGTGGAGATAAAGGCAGAGGTTGTGTCTTTGAATGAAAAAGTTAGGAAACGGAACAAGGGGAAAGAGGGTCTCTGGAGGCATCTCTGACCCTGGAATGGATCCAAGGTTCTTATTCTTACCTGCTCTTTGGCTAGGTTTTCTGCAATGTAGTTCAGGATCTTGTAGAAGACTTCAAACCAAGGTAAGTAACTGAAGGAAGAAGCAATGGTAATATACAAAACAATTTTATCATAAACATATGCCTTGTATGCAGGTACTTCCCTGTTTGATCTCTGTCCATTCCAGATCAAAGTACTTCTGGTGGCTGAGAAAGACCCAGGATAGGCAACCAGACATCCTCCAGGTGTTTTGGACTATAATTTGTGTAACTCCTCACCATTGGGTATGTTGGCTGGGGTTTATGGACACTATAGTTTAAATACCTGGGCAGGTGGTATTGAGTTGCCAATCCTTAACATACTACACCCGTGCTGCAAAAATACATACAACCACTAGATGGCAGAAAGACAACTTTCTGTCTTTCTTTGCTGCCATCTAGTGGTTTCAGTGTTTGCAGCACAGGTACAGAATGACTTCTAATCCTGTCCTAAACAGTCACTTACTGGACAGAGAAACAAAGAAACAGGTCCAATTCTGTAGAAGGCAACTTCATAAGTTCCTACTGACAGGCTATGTGCTTTTAGGAAGTATTTAATTTGTGGTCCTGTAGGCCAGAGGCTCCCCATTGCTATCGTATGGGCTAATTTTATCACAGAGAGAAAGAATTTTCAAGCCCTCAAAGCAGCAAGGATGATCCCATTCTGCAAAAGGTAGTGGTGGGGAGGGCTAATACTAAACTAGAGGTCACTTATGGGCTGTGTTTACTCAACATGCTTAACCTGTTTATTATATTAATTCATTTTCTGAGAATCAAATGGGCTGGATTTGTACAACATGCTAAAGCTTCCATCCCTCCGCCCCCAAGGTTAAGACAATCAAACTTAACATGCACTGACATGATCTTTAAACTACCTGACTAACAGTATTGTGTGAATACTGCCATTGCATCCATGCAAAAGCAAGATGCCAGCTGGGAAGTTTGTGAATCATAGTATGATCTCTTAGCCTTAGTATTATTACTTGTCTTCTGGAATACTTCTTCTTATGTACTCTCTGCAAATTATGATCTGAATCTCTTCTGCCTGATACCCACCCAGTGCTTTCTAGCTAAGGAGACAGTATACTTCATTAGCAGCCAACAACCCAGAAGGCTAAAGGGGAGGATTGGAGGCCTTTGCACTAGGGACCTCCAGGGTTTATCCAAAAGGCAAATGACCCCATTTCCCCCACCAAGAGGAGGACTGGAGGGAAAGACCTGGTTTGCCTCTGTTGCTGTATTTTCAGTGAACCTCGTCTTCCTGTCAGGCCAATTTCCACCATGCTGCAGAAGTTCAAGAAGGCTTCTAGCTGGGACTTACTTGAGACCTCCCACCCAGGAGGAGCCCCTCGTACCTGAGTAGACACAGGCAGGACCGGAAGCCTATGGCCAGTCGGCAGAAGCCAAAGCGCTGCTTCCCCTCCATGTCGGTGAGGGCGAAAGTAAAGTGCTGGACTGTGGGGCACTCCTTAGCCCTTGGTAAGAAACAGGGCAACGGGGTCAAGGAGGGACATTATGATGGGGAAGAAAGCAACAAAGTGTCCTACAAAGGCTGACCAATTTATTACAGCATAAATTGTTGTAGGCATTGCCCATTTGGTTATGTTGATTATATTCATTAATTTACAGGTAAGCTATATGCAGGGCTGATAAGTTCCCCCATTCTCTCTCTCATATACAAATGCACACACCAAAACATAAACACATGCATATATGCAAGCTTTCCTTCCTGGGAGCAGGGAGAGAAAAGCTCTTTGCCAAAGGCAATTCCTGTTGATCAGGTTGGGAGAAGCATGGTAGAGTTTGGGATAGGAATGCTGGGGGCAGTGAGTAAAATCCTCTCCCTCACAATCTCAGGGATGCAGCCAACTTGGGATCAATGGGGTTGGGAGGAGTAATGTCTCCATTTCTAGTGACCTTGACTATTTGTTTCTCTGCTGCCTTTGGCAGTAAGGAAATGCCAGTAGAGTAAACAGAGTCCTAGCTCACATGGAGAACTGCACTTGCATTCAAGCAAGGTGAGTCCAGCTCCTTTTCAAGCCTATAGTGAACATGTGGAGGTTGGAGAAAGAAGGGAGCAAAAGCAGCATGCATACTCTCCTCTTTACTCAGTTGTAGTTTTTCACAAATGAACAAAGCTGAAATGTAAACATGAATCCAAAGAGAAAGTAGGAGATGTATTTCCACCTGTACAGGATACAGATGAGAAACATGCAGAGAACACATTAGAGATATATAAAATCATGCACAATGTAGAGAAAATTGAGATAATGGAAGAATGTCTCATAATGCTAAGACCTAAGGGAGTTGAATAATGGCGGATTCAAGACAAAGAAAAAAATATTCTTTTTGCAGTGGGATGGAGACAACTTTCGTAGTGCTTGTGGATGGCCTATGGTGGGACTTGGAGATGTGGTGGTGCACTCATCCCATTAGATGTCTGAGCAGCATTTAATACCACTTATCATGGTATCTGTCTGAGCTGTCTGTGGAAATGGGGAAACTGTTCTGCAGCGGTTTTGCTCTTTCCTGAATTGGTGGTTCCAAAGAGTACTGATGGAGAAGAGGGGTCAAGCCCTTGCGCACTCCAGTGTTTGCTCTTCTCCCACATCCTGTTTTAATATCTACATGAAACCACTGGGAGAGGTCATCCTTCTCCAGACAGTTCAGCACAATCGCACCGATTTTGCAGAAAATGCATTAGTTGCAAGTAGGCTTCTAGGCCCAATTCAAAGTGCTGATTCAAGCCCTATAGAGAATGGGATCTTGTTACCTTTGGGATCATCTTCTCCAGGTAGAATCTGCTAGGTAGAAACTCCTGATGTAGCAGGAAGAGGATGCTGAGGGTGCCCACCCCACGAAAGATTAGTGTGTGTGTGCTGAGACCTGGAGAATGGCATTCTCAGTAGCTCTCTGGAAAACTTGCCCCCTGAAGTCAAATTGGCCTTCACCCTTTTGTTCTTCAGGAAATTGGTGAAGGCAATCCTTTTCCATAGGACATTTAGGGCAGGAATATATTAATTATGACAGCAACAGATTTTGCTTTATTATTGGATTGTTTTAAAGGATATTTTTAGCTCTTTATATTTTAAGCCACCTAGAGTTGCCCAAGTTAGCAGCATGCAGATATTAGTAATAAATAAATGGTCTGGATTATTAACTACAATTTGATGAATTAATTACAACTGGCTGGGTTTACTTCTGTTCTGTCATAAATCATTGTATTTACAAACCATAATGGTGGAGCTCACACAACAAGCCAAGACAGAAGCAAGGAAACTTTTCACTGGGGATACTGCATTTCTTCCTCCTGTCCTACCTGGGTAGGTGAAGTTATAAATTCAGTGAAATGGATGGATGAAAATGTTCAAAGATTTAAAGGGGGTTGGGGTTAAGGAGTAAAATTGATGCCTGAAAACTTGGCTAAAGGCACCCATCATCCCTTGAAATGTTTAAAAAAGGATAAAAGTGCACTAGATTGGGTTGAGTGTTATGGATATCTCATGTCTTTTCAAATCATGACACTTATTTTGCCCTTTAAAGCACCCAAGCCTCTCCAAACAATCAAAAGAAATGGTTTGGGAACTCTGGGAGCTACAAAGTAGGGGCAGCATGGGGTCTGGGGTTGCTAAACCAGAACCCAAAAGATGACTCAGTACCATTTGTGGGCCAAGCTACTGTGTAATTAATTGGTACAAGGTGTGCTGAGAGTGAATGACTAAGATGGCATTAAAAGAAGATCAGTGGTGGTTATTTCTGGTGGCACTATACTAGAAGCAGCTTGCCATGGATTATTAGTTGCTGGCAGGTGAAGACTCCCCACTTCCTGGTGGCTCATGGGCTTTCATTGAGGCTGGTTGCATGAAGTTACCAACGAACCCTTGCTTGATACTTCTACTCTCCCGCTCCCCTTTTGCTCTTTAATGCAGATTTTCCCCAACTCTGGCTTGAAAGTGGAGATATAAGTACTGAAAAGTACTTATAAGATGAAAACGTCTCCATTCCTGGAGGAGCTTTGTTTTTTCCTCCCTGTCCCCATATTCAGTTCTGTGGAGGGTGTGTCCCTTCTAATGGGAAGAGTCAAACCAGAATAATGACTCATTAGAGACAGAGGAAGCACCCTTTTTAAAGTGTTGACACATCTTCCTGCAAGGAGTGATTGAACAATACAGCAAAAAGTTAGAGTATTCTCTGTTTTTCTAATGTGACTTAGCAATCATATGGAGTTTCCTAGCCCAGATCTGAAATGCTCTCCCACTGGTTGGTAATGTGGTTTTGCATGAATTAGATACTGATTTGTGCCTCTTACAGAATTATTGATAAACAGTGCCATTTCCAATATATCAGAGAATAACTACATGTTCTTTTTCAGCACTGTTAATGTTATTAATACTACTGATTGGACTTAAGGCATTGCCCACATATACAGCTCATTCATGCAGGAAAGAGTCATTGTGAATGATCTTGCATCTCTCTAAATGCAGCTTGTTTCAATACAGTTAGAGCCAGTTTAATTAGAGCCAGTTTAAGGAGTTAGTAGTGTATAGAGAGACCCAGTTTGGTGCAGTGGTGAAGGCACCAGGCTAGAAACCGGGAGACCATGAGTTCTAGTCCTGCCTTAGGCAGGAAAGCCGGCTGGGTGACCTTGGGCCACTCATTCTCCCTCAGCCCTGGGAAGGAGGCAAGGGCAAACCACTTCAGCAGGTGGAAGCAAGCTAGGGGAAGTGATCTGAGGGTGTAAAAACAAAGAGGCTACTGCTGCCTTTTCTGATCCTGGGTGGTGGTGGTGTGTGCCTTGGGTCAATGGGGATTTGGGGCAAGTGGATCTACTCATAGGCTCACACAGCTCCTTATTAGCCAATGGGTAGATCAGGCTAATTGGGCTTTTGAGCACACAGGTCTTTAGCTAATACAGCTCTGTATTAGCCAACAGGTAGATTGGGCTCATGGGTTTTCAAATGGTCTGATCTAATCATTGGCTAATATAGCTCCTTGTTAGCCAATGGGTAGATTGGGGTGACAAGTCATTTTCCAAAGCAAGATCTTATTGCATGGTGAGTGGGGCTGTTCTATATCACTTTATCAATGCAAAGCTCTATGACTTTTAAAGCACACTGTCTCTTCCTCCTCTTGCTCCATCTTAATTTTCAGGAGTCCATCTGCAATGTTAGTCTAGAGCTGTGTGTAAGGGAAGCATCCAAACCTGGTGTTGCACTGGGCTGCTAAAGTCTGGCCCTGGTTCACATGTATATGTGGCAACTATCGGGTTAAACATAAATACATGAGGAGACCAAGTGATGTACGTATCTGCATATCTGAAAAAGCAGACTGACCAGCTTGCAGAAATCAGAAAGCAAAACTTTCTGGTAGACAGAACATTGCTTATTAAATCTCTATTAAAGGCAGTGGTTGATTAAAAAGTCAACAAACTTAAATTGCAACAGGGCATCTTTTTCATGCTTATAGTGCATGTCTGTATAAGCTGGAGAACTCCCTTTGCTTACCTCTCCATATCAAAGGGGAAGCAAAACTTGGGCAGCATCTGGATTGATTCCTATAGGAAGAAGGAAGACTCTTTGATCGTTACAGGACATACATGAGCCTCAACAGTCTCTCACACAAGCACAGCAAAGAATGACTAGGAAATCATTTGCATAAAATATGGAACATCATGCAAACCTATCCATGAATACTCAGAAGGAAATCCCAATTACTAAATTAGATTCAGACTAAATTATTTAAATCCCATGAGTTAGTCCTCTAGATTTCATGAAGGAAATGTTTTTTTATGTTTATAGATTGCCTTCATCAGCCAGCTGCACCTCCCTCAGAAAAATTCCAAAAGGATGGGGACATTATGCAATCCACCTGTGCTTTCATTGTATGAGAATAATACCAGGGACGCTTTAACAAAGGCAATTCCACAACCCACCCTGTTTCAGAAATTTATGTGATTATTCCCCAGGAACATAGTATATTTATGGCTGAACCATAACATTATCTGAAAAGATAATTGATTACCCTCTTATTTTATCTTCAACAGATCTAAAATCAGGCTGTCTTTTGAACATTGTTGTGAATCTCCTAACCATCACGCCTGGAATCTTTCTCCCCATAACCATGAAAGCGGATGCTCTTGGCCAGTTTAATTTCTGGGAGCAAGTTCATACACAAAGAAAAATCAGAATCTCAGGGAAACCAAGCTTGTCATGAACAAACAAACATCCTAGGGCATGACTGGCCTTGAAATTATTTAAAGTAAATCTATGCTGGGGATTATAGCCTATATGCCCTTACAGGTAGTCCTTGCTTAATGATTGTAATTGGGACTGGAATTTACATCTCTAAGAGATGCAGTCATAAAGCATGATGTCATGTGACTGCACCGCTTAGCAATGGTAGTTCCAGCAGTCCCTGGTTACCGTCGTTAAGCAAATCATCATGGGTCCATTTAAGCAAGGACCTCATGTGACTGTGACTTCCGACTTCCTGCCAGCAGGGAAGGTCACAAATTGTGATCATGTGATTCCAGGATGCTGCGATGGCTGGAACTTCAAGGATTGGTTGTAAGTACCACTCATTCAGTGCCATCATAAGTTCAAACGGTCGCTGAATGAGTGATTGTTAACCAAGGACCACCTGTATTTGATTGTCTAACCAATAAGAGCAACAAAAATATAGAAAAGCAGAAAAAAAAGCTTAGTCATGGCTGAATCAGGGTTCTTTTTTTTTTTATCATGGCTCTTACACACATATACACCCATCATGCTATTTGCTTTCAGGGCAAGAACATTACAGAAAGTGTAGAAAAGGAGTAAGAAACAGTCAGCTAGAAAGGTAATGGCATGTGATATTTATCCATAGATACATTAAATAACCAAGGAGATATACATTGAGGTCTTATTCCTTGCTCAGTGCTGAACTGTTCACATTCCATTTATTTTTATGCATGCTTTGCTTTCCTCATACACAGCTCTTATCATATTTAGCACCTAAACCTTCAACTCCATATTCACCCCCAAAATACCGTAATTTAAGTCTATTCATTTTATCATGCACTTTCTCTAAATCAAGAAATGTACAGTACACTTTCTTACATTCTACTTTTCTCAAGAAAATCTGTTGAACAGCAAACATCTGATTTGCATACCTTCTGCCTGGAATAAAACCACATTGCACTTCTCAAATTTTTCATATGTACTGTTATCTTTTGTACCCATTCAACCATAGTTCCCGGGTACTCTTAACAAACCAATCCTTCTGCAGTTTTCCCATTCACTCTGGCTACCTCTTTCCTTTGCAGACAAATGTAATGGCAGTTTCCAGTTCTCAGGCACAGTTAAACTCCTCACACTCTTCATCAAGCAACTCAAAAAGCATACTATATCCATATTTTAACTATTTTCCAGATATACTATCTACACTTTGCAATCTTACCTTTTTTCAACATTCTCACAGGATTACTTCCTTTTCATCATTTTTGTTAGAACCTAAGAAATCTTGGATTCTAAGAAATGAATTCTAAATGAGTACTTTAGTTATTTGTTTGGGAACAGTTAATTTCTGCAAGAATTATGGTGACATGTTGAAGAATAGAATTGAAGTAAATTCTCTAAATGGATGCTAAGAAATGAATCCTTAGAATTATAGTGTCATGTTGAAGAGTAGTATTGAAGTAAATGCTATAAATTAATTCTACGAAATGAATTCTTATAATCCTTTTATGGCATTTACTTCAATTCTACTCTTCAACATGTCACTATAATTCTTGTAAAAATTAACTATTCCCATACAAATCTTTAAAGTACTTCTTTCAGAATTTCTTCACTTCAGTTTCATTTCAAATAATTTAATCCCTTTTATTTTCAGTTCTAACCACTCTGCTGGAGGGTCTTTATTTAGTTCTCTTTACTGACTTCCAAAACAATTTTTGTTAACAACCATTCTCCTACGTGCATTTTCCCCTGTGTCCCCACCCAATTATATTTAATTATTTAAGCAAGGATCCTTTTTCATACTTTCAGCTTGTGTAACTCAAAATACTTATGTGTCTCTCTGTAACATGATTTGTTTCACTCTGTTCCAAACAGTTTCCACAACCTCTATTTTATGCATTCTATTTAGTTGGGAGAGTCATCTTGTATCTTCTCTTCCTGTATTTGTTCTATTTTTACTCTAGTTTCTTTCATTTTCCTTTTCAAAGATCCACTCCTGATACTGCTAAAGAACAGTTCATCTCACATTCAGGATCACCCTTGTATCCTTCACTAATCTCTCAGGATTTCATCAATTGATTGTTTAGATTTATCAATTGAAATCAATTGATTGTTTAGATTTACATGAATTGCTTGCCATGTGTTTGTATGAATAGACTTAGACCTAAGCCATGTAAACAGATCCCTTTCTAAGCAAATACTCACCAGATAATCTCTGTCCTCATTAATTCTTGGATCCCCAAATGGCACAATCACTTTTTTGTACTCTCTCATTCAGAATGCTGAATAAAGTCCTGCATATCTCATCTCTAGTTCTTCTGTTTTCACCATTCTCCAGAACATAAAACTGCTTTTACATGCAGCCACAACAACCTAGATGGCACCAGTTCATATTTTTTGACATACAGTTTAGTCCTTTCATTCCTAATGAAATCTACTGTATATCTTCACCAACTTTGTTCTATAAGATCTGACCACCTTCATTCAGATTACATCCTTTCCCTTTCTCTTAGTTTCACAGACACACAATATATCTCTTTTCCTTTCTTTCCTTTCATTTATTATCAATGTTCTTGATAATTTACTCCTATTACATAGATATTGACCCTTGCTGCCAGCTTGGCTTTGGTCAATTGAGGGCTAAAAAGCTTTCATGCTTTTTAGTAAGATAGAGAAGGTGTTGACTGAGTTACCATCTTTAGCTGTATTTATGCCACAGTCAGCATTCCCTGCTAACATTTAAAACAGTTCAGGGACATTCTGAGATTTATTTATTCATCCAATTTATGTTTACCACAATTCCAACCAAACTCCAGTTTTACCCTGAGCATGCTCAATCTATTCTATGCAAGCTAGCTTCCTAATCTAGATACTATTTTCCAAGCTTGTGGCCTGTATCCTATCAAGTAGGAGGTTTATGTAATGCACATTCAGGATTCCACGATTGCAAACCAGGGCAAGTTTTTAGTTTATACAACCTGGCTCTCTGAGGAGGTGAGGAGCTTCAGTGAGTTTAGCTGTTCATGCTGGCAGAAAAAAAAACATGTAGAAGTGAGCAGGTGCCATGCACTAGCACTCAGCATATTCATGATAAGGCAGGATTTCAGAACCACAAGAGGAGAGGCAGAAAAAAGTGACACTTATGCTTGTACTGGTTTTTTGAAGGCAAAGAACTTAGAGTGGAGAGGTATGTAGCAACTCTACAAAGGAGACAGACCTGATCATCAAAGTCCAGCGGAAATTGTCTACGCACTTGAGGATCTGCACAGAAAAACAGAGCAGAGGTCAATATATAGAACCCAGGCATAGCCATTTTAAATGAAAGCAAGGATTCTCTGAATGGACAGGAATTCCTCTTACCACTGTACTCTAGTTCCACTGATTACTTAGTCATCAATGGGCCTCTGTTCACTTCTATAGAACTATGCTCCAGCTGTTTTTATTTGATAGGAAGCAATTTCATTTTTTGGTGCCTCTCCCACACTGGAACCTATTTTACCACCCCCCATTCCATGTTTAATGACATTTTGGGGGTGTCTCTTTTAAATGTTTTTTTTTTTATTGCACGAAGTCGTTTCAGTTTCAGCTCTTTCTTCTGGATGGATGCATCTTAATAGCAGTGCAAGGTAAGTGTTCACTCACAGAACATAAATATCAGCCTTTGTTTTCTCTGAGGCACCCAATTCAGAGACGGTACACCTATTCTCCATACTGTCTGGGCTCTTCCCCACAGCTCAGTTCAAGTGCTCTCCTCCTATCTGTGAGCCGGCATAAAAGTAAGCCAGTGTAATTTTTGTTACCCACATTGCTAGTTTCAACTGACTCTTTTCTGGCTTGCAGAAACGTAATCTAAAGATTTACTCCTTTTACATTCCAATTCTGTTTTCCATGAAGGGAAAGCTTCCCCCTTCCCATTTTCTCAGCATCAACATCTGGCAGGAATTTGACAGGTCGCTACACCCCCAGGGTTACATCATCTCCAGGACTAGCTCCCCTTTCACTTGCCACCTCCCCTAGCATGGAGTCAGTCGCCTGGGATTGATGGCAGGTGAAGTGGAGGGGAGCTCTTTTGGTCTGGAGACCTGAATAGGCCCAAATAGCTGATAGTCCAAACATAGCTGATATTTGTGTTTGTGTATGTTGCATGAGACAGCGCTCTATTGCTTCTCACTACAATCCCACTATGCCTGTTAGCTGTGTTTCGGACTGATTTTGAACATGAGTTTTGCACTCTTTTGGAAAAGCAGTAAACATGTAGTCTAAAGCAGCCCACACCACTGCTGATGGGCATGGTAGACAGGACAACAGGTTAGCCCATGAAACAGCAGGGAGGAAGCCTTCAGTCTTTGACCTGCTTCACCACTCAGCCAGCTCTCTACTGCTATTGCTGATCGGCTGCAATTTGGGCTGATCTAGCCTCCCAGCTGTGGATTGGTTTGGAGCTCTACTGTTTATAGTGGGAGAGCCTGTTCTGAAAGAAGATTCTCCCAGGTCCCAAAGCGGAATGGCCTGGAGTATAGAGCTCAGAGACTGGAGGAAAGGAGATACAAGGACCCATCTGAAGTGGCCAGTCTGTGCTGGGCTGATGCCATTTGATGCTAAGAGTCCCTTGATTGTATCACCCACAGAATGGCTGGTGAAACCTGTCAGATTGTGCTTAAGGGGAAAAATACTACTTTAACAGTGGAACAACTAAGGCTGTCTGGAGTATGGGCTGGGAATGAGATGAAAGCAATGTCATGGGGGCAAAGCAGATAAAAGCACATGCATATCATGGTTCGATGCAAGTGGGGAAAGGCCCAAAGTCCTTTCTGGCAAATCCTGTTAAAAGGAGCTAAAGTTTCCATTGAGATCTTGAGAACTGATCCGCAAGAGACAATATGATCCTGGTGAGCTAACGGCACCTGTTAGGCATACACTACTTATATTTCATCTGCTGAAGATCAGCCTCTTCAGAAAGACACTTGAATAGGGGACTGGGACAGATGCAGACAGATGGTTGGCTGATGCTCTGATATCTGCCTTTCCTAATCTGGTGCCGCTAAAATTCTAGGCTTAGGCTACAACATCTGCTCTTATCCTAAAACGTACCTAAAGGGAGAAGAGCTGCAATGATCTCACATTCAACACCCAACACTTTCTCAAAGTCAGGCTCTCAAATAGGCCTGGGCCACTAATAAAAATGGAAAAACTGAAACAAAATCACCTTTCAAATGGAGAATGTGCTTAAGGTTTTTTTTGGGGGGGGGCAGCAGCAAATGCCTAAGTCTGTGCCCTTTTTGAACCTGAGGCTCAGGGGAAGTGGCCTGCTTCTCCCTCACCCTCTGCCTTGGCCCTTGAAACCTTCCCCCATACTTTATAAGATCATTCATGCTTACTCTCAGATGTTGAAAGATGCTTGTGGCATTTACTGGGTTGGTTTTCTGGTTTTTGTTGTTCTTAACAGACCTAAATACTGAGTTATCACTCTAAAAAAATAACCTATCAATGAGAATGCATCTGAGTGCCCCTAGAACAACCGATTTCTTGGAACAGCAAGATCACCCCAGGTCTGCCTCCATTTTCAAAAGAGGACAATCCTTAATATGATTTAGGAGTACATCACTTCGAATATACATTTGAACAGGCGTATGGTGCTTCCAGCCTCCTTCCGTCCCAACGATTAGTTCCAGCAGCAGCAATGCCTGCTCACTCACACTTGCTACCAAATGGGGAGATGACATTGAAACAGATACATAGATGCCCCTTGAATAACTACCATAGGTGGTTACCTCATCTACTTATAAGATCTGGGTTGGCTTTGGACACACTATTTACAGCTACACCTAAAAGAAAGGCAGCCTTCAGTTCAGCCCTACACCAGGTCTGCTCTGAGTTCATTCAGTGGGGCATGTTCTGCAGTAAATGGGGATAAGGCAACCTTTCCTAACAAAATCCCCTCCAGCTGTGATGGGAATAATGTTGCCTGGGAATTTTGAGAGAACCCCTACAAAACTGGAAGAGATCAGTCTGCAGATGCATCCACTTTCCAACATTGGCTAGCCAAAGAATTCTGGCAGGGTTGGCCCACCCATGTTGGCAAGTACCTCTGTTGCACAAGCTGCCTTGGTTCCCAGTAAGCTTCTGGGTGCAATTCAAGGTCTTGGTTGTAACCTATAAAGCCTTTCATGCTATGGGGCCTGACAATCTGAGGGACTGCCTTTTTCCTGTTGTTTCTCCCCATCTGGTAAGCTCCAGGTCCCATCTTTAAAACAGTGTCCTTTGATGGAACCCAGGCAGAGTGGCTTCTCTCTTGCAACTTCTGCCTTCTGGAGGTTCAACTTGCCCCAACCCTACCATCCATTAAGCGGCCCCTGAAGACCTGGTTCTTTCCCCAGCCACTGCCTTAGGAAGTCTGTGCTTTAATGGGAATTTGATTCATGTATTAGGTGTAGTGAGACCCAGTTTGGAGTAGTGGTTAAGGCACCAGGCTAGAAACCGGGAGACGGTGTGTTCTAGTCCTGATTAGACAGAAAGCCAGATAGGTGACCTTGGGCCAGTCACTTCCTCTCAGCCCTAGGAAGGAGGCAATGGCAAACCAGTTCTGAAAAACCTTGCCAAGAAAACTGCAGGGACTTGTCCAAGCAGTCTCTGAGAATTGGACACAATTGAACAGATTAAAAAAAGGGGGGGAAATTAGGTGTATTAATCCCTGAGTTATGTGTTTTTAACTTGTATGCTGCCCAGAATTGTTATGAGTTGGGAGACCTATATCTATATCTACAGTATATCTATATCTATATATCTATATATCTATATCTTACCATTATTTATACAACTCAAGGGGACATACATAATGCTCCCTCTTCCTATTTCCCCACAACAACCATCCTGTGAGATGGGTTGGGCTGAGACAGAGTGACTGGCCCAAAGTCACTCAGCCAGCTTTCGTGCCTGAGGGAGGCCTAGAAGTCACAGTCTCCTGGCTGTTAATCCAGCACCTCAACCATTACACCAAACTGCCTAGGATGCCAAGTAAAGTAGGACACCAAATCTCAAGGAGAAAAAAAAATCAAATAAAAGAACAATTTTATAGGGGGATGGGGGGGCTGACTACACAGTCACCAGTTGCTGGTAGTTATTCTAGGGCCGCCACTGGCTCTTGGCATTCTCCTGTTCTTTGTCCCCAAAGCAACTGAGATACCTACTTCCACTGCAGTTGGCAGTTCTGCTGAGCTACCATGTGGGGAGGGGCTCAAGGGGCAAAATGGGTGATTAAGCTTCTGCAAGGGTTAAGGCACTAATTCCACCCCATAACTCTCCTAAACCACCCAAAGTGCCAGAGACACCTGGCAGAAACCTTCAAAGCTAGGAAACACGAAGCCACATTGCCATTGCTTGAAAAGGTAAGAAAAAGAGAGGCAGGATTAAAACCTTGGGTCTAACTCCAGCCCACTTCAGCCTGCCTGATTAGATCTAGCAGGGAGAAACTGCTGCAAGTCCCACACTTTTGGGAGGTTTGGGGGAAGGGGAGGGCTGAGGCAAGGAGGTGCTGCTTTTCTGTTGCAGCACCCATATTGTGGAATAGTCTCCCTGTGGAAATGAGGTTGGCTCCCTCTTTGTTGGTTTTCTGCAGGTTTCGAAAGACTTTTTTTTCCCTGAAGAGTTCCCTCCCTCCCATCCTGCACATTTGATTTGTTGTTGCCATCTTTTATTCTCTTTCTATCTTTGTATTTTTAATTTTTCATGGGGTTCGTTTTATATTTTTGATGCGAGCTGCTGAGAGTTGTTTTTGATTGTGGCAGCATAGAAATATGTTTTATAAACACATAAAAATAAATAAATAAAATATTCCTGGGTGTTGTTAGACAGAAAAGTTCTTGAACTATACGTATGACTTTTTAATCACCTGAAATAAATCTACTTATCCAACTTTCCTGAACCTGCTTGGAGTGCAGAATGGGGCAAGCCTAATATTGATTGATTGATTGATTGATCGATCGATTGATCATGAGCAGATACAGTAGATGGATTTTCTCCTTGAAGATTTGCCCCTAACCTGGTCTTTCAAGCCTAATAGCTGGGTTATAAAACTTTGACACCCACTATGCTGAGTCTTGACATCATCAACAACACCCCCTGGAGCTTTCAAGAGACCTTGCTGAGATGGCCAAACTGACTTCTTTGATTAGAGAAAGGTCATTACTGACATCCCTCAATGACTGGAAACTCCTTATGGATTTTTTTTTTGTGTAAAAAAGAAGCTGATTTAAGGTTTTGATGATTCTAAAGAATAGGTTATAGAAAGAAGGGAATTGTGATGTAGTCTTAGAGAGAGAGATTTGATTAAAATTGTATGTATAACTGCCGAGAGGAAGGTCAGAAGCTACACACACAGTTTTCTGTTGTTTTTTTTATTTTTATTTTTTCTATCTTCTTTTTTCTTTGTCTCTTCTTTTCCTTTCCTTTCCTTTTTTCTTTTTCACATTTACTTTACTATATTTTTTCTTTGAATGTATTTCTTATTATGTATATAAAATCTTTTAATTAAAAAAAGGAGCCTTCAGAGACCAAATATTCTTTTTTTTGGCTCCTGATCCCATGAAAAACATATAGCCTTCACTGAGCCATAACAGATGGGTTTGCACATCATCCAAGCCAAAAAAACAAACAAACAAAAAACCCTCGACCACATCATAGGGTAATAAGATGTGTGAAGAAGACAATACTGTAGATTAGAACAAGGATGCAATAGCAGATAGGTTGAAAAGTAAAAAAGCTTCATCTTTGATCCAGCTCTTTTCACCACATGTATGTAGTCAAGGGCTATCTCAGACTGTACTATAAATCTCTCACACTAATATATATAGTTTTATTTTCACTTACTATTAAATTGCCCTGAAAAGACCACTGCCCAACACAGTTGAGACTTACCATCATCTGCAAGTGATGGACGAGCAACTTCAAAGAACAAATCAAATATTTTCTGTGGATTTTCCCTGGGGAGACAAGAGTCAGTGTATTCAGTAGCAATAAACAGAAGCCACATGAACTTAGAGAAGTATGGCCTTTATAGCAGGAATCTAAATGAGTTAGAACAAGATAAAGGTATGGACTGGAAATAGACATCTTTTGCCAGACTACATATTCTCATAACTAGATGAGCTGGATTTCAGTTCCCATAAACCCCCAGCCAGCCCAAGCAATGTCCAAGCTCTTTGTAGGACACCAAGTTGGGGAAGCTCTTGTAGTGCTGTGTTTAAGTCTCACTGAAGCATGGTACTGTAAGGGTACATGGGAATGACCTTGGAAGACAGGAGGGAGAGCCACAGACCGGACAACTGGTGTGTAAAATGTATCTCAGCCCATAGAAGGAGGTACGATGTTTCAGAAGGGACCCTCCCTAGTTTTCTGGAGAGTAAAAATAGAGGAGGGGATAAATATTTTCAGTGTTGCAAGATTCTGTTTAATGTAATCTTACAATAAAGACAGAGCTAGTACTCCTGATTGTGCTTCTTGTATGGACTACCTCACAGGGCTAACAGGTACTTACTGTTAATATTGTAACGTATGTGGTCCTCCCAGCCACTTTTTTCCACTCAGGGGGTGACAGCATGATAGTGGTTGTATGACAGAGCTAACCCAGTCTGCTGCTATCCTAATTAAACATTCACTCCCTTATATTGGTGGCAGATGACCTGGGATGCACTGGTCAAATAGGAATGGCCACCTTTGTAAGAACCTTACCCACTGAAAATACAGCTATAAGGCCATCACTTCCTGCCATTTTTAAAGGTACTGTTTCACCAAAAAATAAGAAAGAGTGAAAAATATCCCAGATGATGGTGGCCCAACTGGGCCTGGCATCACAACGATGAGGGAGGCTTACATCATTTCTTTCTACCCTGTTTTGCCCCATTTCCTGTATAGTCCCATAAGGCAAAGAAGTATAAGAACCAGAGAAAAGGAATTTATAGCCCAATTTTTGTGAAGACAATCCAGGCCAGAACAGAAGACATTTTAACACCAGAATAGCTAAAGGTATTTAATTCTCTTTCACTCATGGGACAAAATATGGGGAGAAGGGGTCATGGGGAGAGAGTAGAAAAAAATGTGTTCCCAGGATGTGGTTTTATTGTAATTAGGTAGCAGGGCAGAAAAGCAGTTTAACTGGTAATCTCCCTTCTGAAATACCACCTATCCCCATTACTGGGTTCTTAAAATCAGTTTCATGTCTTCAAGAATCCTATTACATCATGAGCCAAACTGTTTACAAGCTAAGAGCTTCTGGTGGCCAGCTGTGTACCATCTCATTCAACTTTAATGCCTCTTCAGCCTTCCTTGGTCACCTGGCTGACTCAGCAAGAACCTCTGTAAGACGTAGGTTGGGGTAACAATATTTTCAGAGGTGCCAGCAAAACAAGGCAAGAGTGGAAGGGTTGTTTCATCTCATACGCTACTGTATTGCAAAGGATCTTGCTGACATAGATCTCCTGTGACATTTGGAGGAACAATATTTCCCAACATGTCAGGAGATCAGAGATCTCGACTGACTTTCTGTACTACAAAACTAAAGCTGAAGTATAATTAAAGGGAATGGACTGTTATGATAGGCCAACCCCACCCCTCCCCCCCTTCTTGAACCTGTCCCAAGGTCTTACTTGATCCGAGACCCCATCGTCCTTGGCTCATTCCATCACTGTCATCTCACGGAAGCACCAAATGAACAATCTTCCTTCTCATCCAGATTGAACCCCTGAAAACTAGAAATTGTTCCAGAGCTCAGTTTGGTACGTTTCAAAAAGCAGTATTTCCTCTTGCGGCTTTTTGTTACAGGAAGTTTGTACCCTGTGACGGCCTTAGCTCACTGCAGATTGAAAAGCTTCAGCTGGGGTATGGTGACTCTTAGTTTGGTCCCTTTCTGCTGTGTTGGTGGGTATTGTTGCTTTCTTGTCCTTCAGCTAAGATCACAACAGATTTTGAAGGCCAAGCAAACTTCTTAATAAGCAAAATTATCTTCTTTCAAGACTTTTGTACAGTTAAATAGGTGCAATTGTCTTTAATAGCTGATGGCTTCTGTGGAGGCAGAGTGGGTTTTTTTTTTTAATGTGTGCGTGCACGCATGTGAGAAAGACAGAAGAAAAGACAGAGGGATTTCAGTAGAGGCAACAAAGGAGAAGGAAGCTTCAATCTGTGTATCTGAAAAGAAACCGCAATAAAATGTGGGATGTATCCAAATGCTATTAAACTTGAGAAATGGACAATGCTGTAAAAGTGGAATACTTGGTTATCCAGCCCCAGCAGACCAGTGGACAGGGCAACATTTCTTCATGAATTTGGTCTGGTATTTGGTCTGGTATCAATTTATAGAGGCTTTCAGAGGATGATGGCTTCAGTAGGATTGCCACTGGGAGAATTTCTTGTAGATTGGCAGAATAGCCACAGCCACCTCAACTGGCACGTGAAGACCTGCAAGAAATCTAGATGAGGAGGTGGCAATCGTGAGGTACTTCCACGCTGGACTCTGCAAGCAGTTCAGAACCATCTTTATATCCATATGATAGCACAGTTTCTTGTAGGCTTTTTGTTTGTTTGTTTGTTTGGTGGCTCCACTGCAATTTATTTGAAACCGGAGCAAACCTGGTGCCTTTTTTGCAATGCCATGGCTCGGCTGAACTTGTTGGCAACGTGTTTCCTCATTTGCAGGAATGCTTGCCTCACCCCACTTCTCAGTTTCTGGGTTGGTTGGTATTTTTCAATCGGAAAGATGCTTGATGCATTTCTTGATGCATTTCTCAAGCTTCCCGTCCCTTGGGGTTTTTTTTGCCACATGGACAAACAGATGCATACAACATGAATGAAGGACGTGGATGAGGTGTGTATATATGCCCACAGTTATGTGCACGTTTGTGCAAACAGATTATTTTATTTCTCTTACATGACTGGGAGTAAAAGCAGCTGGGACAGGTAAGTGATTTTTTTTTTTTTTTTGGCTCCTTGTTTCCAAGGTTCTGAGGCTGGCTGTAGTAAAGAGGGTCTGAAAAGTAGAAATATTCATAGAATCAGAAGTAGAAGGGGACATTTGAGTCCAATTTCCTGCAGGAATCCAACTGAAAGGTACCGAACAGATGGTTGTAGAGACTCTTCCTGAAAATATTTAGCAAAGGGAAGCCCAACTTCTCCCTCAGTAATTAGTTTCACTGCTCAGTTGCTAAGACCATTAGAATTTTTTCCCTAGCATTCCTTTGGAATTTGCCTTCCTGTAACTTAAAGCCATTATTTTATGTCCTGCTCTTGAGAATGTATTTATTATGTATTTATTAAAAAATTAAAATCACCCAATTGCCAAAGCTCTCTGGGCAGTTTACAATATAACAATGGTAAATGGTAAAACGATGATAAAAAGAGAACACAACTTGGTCATCTTCATATGAAACGCCTTCAAATACTGAAAAACACTATCTTATCCTCCTTTAATCTTCTCTTCTTGATTTTAAACATGCCCAATCCATCATCATCTTTGATCCCATTTCAGTTAATTTGAATCCTTCTTAATGTGTTATGACCAGAACAAGACACAAGGTGGGGTGCGACCAGCGCAGAACAAAGAGGACCTATAACTTTGATGGATTTGGAAGTTACAATTCTGTGGAAGCAATTCAAATTTTGTCTTTTTTGCAGCAACTTTATAGTGCTAACACATAGTCAATCTGATCTACCCCAACTGCAAGGTTCTTCTCAGATACACTATTGCCAGGTCAGATATTTCCTGGCTTGTATCTAAGTGCTTGATTCTTTTCCTTAATAAAGTGTTTAGCATTTATATCTTTCAAACTTTTTAATGGTTGTCTTCACCCCATTTTTTAAGCTATCAAGATCATATTGTATGTTAGGCTTCTTCTAACACCAAATGACTAAGAGTCTGTCACTACCCAATTTTGTGTCCAGTGGAATGTTAATCAGCATTTCTGTTATGTCTTCCTCTAAGCCAGTGTTGCTCAGTCTTAGCTGAATTCCCCAGCCAGTGTGTGGGAGTTGAAGTCCACACAGCTTAATGTTGCTGAGACTGAGAAATATTGTGCTAAGCCAATATGCAATTTCCTGACCACAAAGGCAGGAGCTAAGAACCTCTTGACTACAAATAGCCATGTCAGCAGGATTTTGCCCTAGAAAGATCACACAACTAGACTAGGGTAGGACTAACAAAACTGGGCTGCAAAAATCCAGTTTATGTTGCTGGAGATGCACTGACTTCCAGTGGATTTGTAGGAATAATTCAAAACCCTGTGTGGCTTGTGGCTTGGCTCCTAGATATCTTTGGGACCTTCTTCTTCACACAGAAGTAGCTTGCTCTTCTCTTCCAAAGTTAAGACTTTGGAGACTTAACTGTGGTGCTATTAGTTGGGGATGATGCCAGGGTTATATTTTGATTGTTAGGTTTGCTTGCTGTTTGTACAAATAAGTGCTTTAATTCCGGTTTTATTATATATCTGCTTTTAGTGGATTGTACATCTGAGTTGACTGATTAATTACAGGGGTCTGTCAATAAAAGGAAGGAAGGAAGGAAGGAAGGAAGGAAGGAAGGAAGGAAGGAAGGAAGGAAGGAAGG